TCAGGAATTTTTTTTTAAAGAATTTTTTTTTTTTTTTTTTTTTGAGAGCTATAGTTAGAAGATAGTGACTCAGCTTATTTCCTTTGTGTCCAGTGGGTCTTGGATTGGTCTTAAAAGTACTTTAGGTATCTTAACTACACACTAATTTACCAGGTATTTGAATAGTGCAGTATTATTTCTAGAGGAAAATGATCTTCACCTTTTTGTAGTCTGATTCTTTCCCTCTCTTTTTTAGGTGTCCCTGCTCAAATTCCTGTTTTATCAGTGACACAGACTTTGACCACTGGACCTGATACTGCTGTGTCACAAGCTCATTTAACACCCTCGCCAGTTCCTGTGTCAATACAGGCAGTTAACCAGCCCTTAATGCCTTTGCCTCAGACAATGAGCCTTTATCAAGACCCACTGTATCCTGGGTTTCCTTATAGTGAAAAGGGAGATCGAGCCATTGCACCACCTTACTCACTGTGTCAGACTGGCGAGGACCTGCCTAAAGGTGAGATTCTTCTCCAGTTTCAGATTGATATACATGGGGGGTGTGTTGATTTTAAGATGTAAGTAGAGGCCAGAGAAAGGGCTCAATCAGGAAAGACAGCAGAGGTTTGGCAGTTCATTGGACTGTGTGGTGGCGCATGTCTTTAATCCCATCACCCAGCTCTTCGGAAACAGGCAGAAGAATCTGTGAGATCAAGCTCAACCTAACCTGTTTTCTATAGTGAGTTCTAGTCCAGCTGGGAAACCCTGTCTTAAAAAAAGAAAAGGAATAAAAAAATCTTGTTATTCAGTACTGTTTTAGCTTGGTCTTAGGAAGATAAATGATTTTTTTTCGGCTTAGTAAAAGCCTTTCCTGCATAACTTTTCCCATAAACAGCTTTGAAACTATTTCTCAGCTTTTATTTTTATATTTTCAGGCAGTGTCTTACTGTTGCCCAGGTTGGCCTGTAACTGCATTCTTGCTTCAGCCTCCTGAGCACTGGGTTATAGGTGTATACCACCAAATGCTTGACTTGGTTTATGGAGATCTTACATTTTCCCCAGTGTTTTCCTTTTGTAATTTTTAAAGCCTTGCAGAGGACATGAATAATACAATGTCCTCCTGAATTTCCTTCTCCCAGATTGAATTTAATCACATAGACTCAGTTATTTGGGAACTTAGATCTTAATACAGGGAAAAAGAGCAAACCTAGAATTACCATCTAATAGCAGCTTTGTTTGGGGGTATGTTTCCATTTTTGTGTTTTACTCTATAGGCCAGAGAACTCAGTTCTGGCAGGAAATTCATGTTTAGAACTGCAGTGAATAGTGGTGAAGAATAGAAAAGCTTTGTGAACGTACAGTTTTAGTGAATGATTTCTTTAAATTTTTAGATAAGAACATTCTTCGATTCTTCTTCAATCTTGGTGTAAAGGTATTTGCATTTTATCATTTTAAAGTTGCTTTCTTAATATTAAATTTTATTATTCAAATGGTATTAGTTTAATCTATCAGTAACCTAAGGTTTACCAAATGTTATTTATATTCTAGTTTTTGCTTCCTTTTCCCCTTAATTGGTGTTGGCTTGACCTTGGGGACTATATTAGGGACAAACTAATTCCCTGGAAATGCCCTTACTGTGGGGAATTATAGAGACGATCTGAGTTCTTTGTAGGCAAGAGAGACTTTGCTTGAGCTAAGTACTTTTAGATAGATAGCTTCCTAACCTCTGCTATTATTCCTGTTTATTTTACTTTTTTTTGTCTTTCAGGCATATAGTTGTCCTATGTGGGCCCCACATTCTTATCTGTATCCTCTGCACCAGGCCTATATGGCAGCCTGCAGAATGTACCCAAAGGTCTCAGTTCCTGTGTATCCTCAGAATTCTTGGTTCCAAGAAGCTCCTCCTGCACAGAGTGAAAGTGATTGCACATGTACTGATGCACACTTTTCTATGCACCCTGAGGCCAGTGTTAATGGTCAGATGCCACAGGCAGAGATTGGACCTCCGGCGTTTTCTTCACCTCTAGTTATCCCTCCATCTCAGGTGTCAGAAAGTCATGGACAACTGTCTTACCAACCTGAACTTGAATCTGAAAACCCTGGGCAGCTTCTTCATGCTGAGTATGAAGAATCACTAAATGGCAAGAACATGTACCCACAACCTTCCTTTGGACCTAACCCTTTCTTAGGTCCAGTTCCCATCGCTCCTCCTTTCTTTCCTCATGTTTGGTATGGGTACCCTTTTCAGGGATTTGTAGAAAATCCTGTAATGAGGCAAAATATTGTCCTATCCTCTGATGATAAAGGAGAATTAGATTTGCCCCTGGAAAATCTGGATCTGTCTAAAGACTGTGCTTCTGTCCCAGCAGTTGAGGAATTTCCAGAAACCAGAGTTGAAGGTGCACACACTCTCTCTGAAGCAAGTGTGAGCAGCAAGCACGAAGGCCAGGTGGAACAGTCGTCCCAGACACGAAAGGCAGATATGACTTTAGCTGCTCTTTCTCCTGGAGCAGAGGAAAAGGCTCATCTTCCCACTCAGATTTTAAACAGAGAAAGAGAAACTATGCCTGTTGAGCTTGAGCCTAAGCCGACCGTTCAAAATCTGAAAGAAAAACCAGAGAAAACAAAAGATACCAAGACTGCTGCTGATGTGGTCAGCCCTGGGGCCAACTCTGTGGATCGAGTGCAGAGACCAAAGGAAGAGAGTTCAGAAGATGAAAACGAAGTGTCCAATATTCTGAGAAGTGGCAGATCCAAGCAGTTCTATAATCAAACTTATGGAAGCAGGAAATACAAAAGTGATTGGGGCTATTCTGGTAGAGGTGGATATCAGCACGTGAGAGGTGAGGAGTCCTGGAAAGGGCAGCCTAACAGAAACCGGGATGAAGGCTATCAGTACCATCGAAATGCCAGAGGACGCCCATACAGGGGAGATAGGAGGAGATCAGGGATGGGAGATGGCCACAGGGGACAACACACTTAGTGCTTATTGCTCATACTGTAGAGCAGAAGGCTTTTTTAGGTGGTATTTCTGAAGGCTTTAAAAATGACATTAAAATAAAAACCCAAATTGGAACTATGTCCTCCCTTCTCCCTGTACCCTTGTACCAATTCTGGATGAGATTGTGGATATGAGTTTAAGGGATAGGTGAATTTCTGGCGTTGTCATTTTCCTTATTCAAAATTTGTTGGGTAACTGGCCCATAAAAAGTAAACATGAGTTTAGTATTTTTTATAAACAGCTCAGATCATAGACTTAGTTTTTTTTCTTTTGTAAGTTTGATTTGAAATGTTGGAAATGTGTGCTTTTTAGTGTTGACTTAAGTCACAAGAAAATAAACCACTCAACACACTATAGATTCCAAAACATAACATTGCACCAAATAGAAATGTATATTTTATTATGCAATGCCTTAGTCATAAACTGGGCTCAAACATTTCTCAGCCTAAAACACTGTTGTCTTTTAATATGCTTCCAACCCAAAGGCCTTTCATCTCAGTATCTGTCAAACTTGAATAATTGTCTTCTCTTTACTATTACACACGAGGCAGCCTATTAACCTGTGTCTTAGAATTGTTGTATATAGTTCTTTTAATATTCATAGGATATATTTTTGAATTTTGGTGAGTATTTGTTGAACTTGAGATTGCATACAAGAAGAGATGTTTAAGAAATAGTAGGAAATCCAGTGAAATGGCTGTTCCCATCAAGAATCCTTAGCACTGGTTTAGTATCATGGTGCCTACTCGAAAGAAATGTAGATGCTATGCATTTTGAAAATAATCTGCATCTGTTAGAATTGCAGAGTCTTTTTTTTAATGCCACTTTAACACTAATGCACTGACAGATTCTAAATATTTTGTGAGAAGAAATGTTAAATTTTTTTTAGCTTGATAGCTTCTCTAGCAAGTTAGTGTTTTGTTTACTCCTTGCACCATTGGTTGTGTTTTTTACTTTACATTTGCATGTTCAACTTGTCATAGCTGGAATTACTGTACAAAAAGATGATTGTATCTTCTAGTTCGTCTCTGGAGGATGCTGCTAGAAAATGACTCTGCTTTGCATTTTGTAGCCCGTTACTCATGGGGAACGTCTCACCCTGCTTCTTCCAGTCTCCTGTGTTCACTAGAGGCTCCTTTGCATGTTGCACTCTGTTCTCATTTGGAGATGGGACTCTGAATTAACACAGTATTCATGCATCTGTGTTATTTTGTAAAACTAACTGTAGCTTGTTTCTTATTTGTACATACCAATGTGAAAATTTGCCCTTTTTTACGTTGAGATTACCTTTTGATCAGGAAGTTTGAGTGCTATGCAAATAATATGGTAGTGATTTTTCTTTGCATGTCATGTGTAATGTACCTAGTCGAAAGGAGATGTGGCTTTTATTTTGGGGGGCAGATACTTTAAAAGCAAATACAATTCACTTGAATTTGACAAACTGAAGTAGACAGGTTTTCTGGGTTCTGTGATAACTTGTGGGAATGATTGGATGTCAGCTAGGTTCAATGTCTCCACTGTACTGTAATAATGGTTGTTTACCTCTGTACTGTTTTAATTACCCTAATGTCTCTGTGACTGCTGATTTGAATAGTGATTAGCATTTAGATATTTTGTAACAGGATTTTAGTGAGCACTTTGAAAGATAACATTTTATTATGATGGTGCTAGGAAAAAAATTGTATAGACTGGGACATTGCAGCAAAAATTCTTGACAGGACCCATTGAGTTTGTTGTCAGTGTCTAAGTCAGAATGGTTGTAAGAGGTTCTGCTTAAGCCAGTGTTGTAGTATCAATGGCTGAATTATGTATGGCATAAGAAATTTAGAGGATCTACTTTTAGTTCATGGTTTTTTATGTAGGATTAGCTTGTCCAGCAATTTTTATTATGAAAATCACCTTTTGATAAATACCAGATTTAAAATTTTAGTTTGATGTTTGGTCTCAGGAGTCCAAAAGAAGTAGCTCTTTCCAATGTCCTTCATGTTATTATTGACTGGGGTTTGATCTGTTTGTGGAAGTGTTTGAAAATTGGATAGGGAAGAAATACTGTTTGCTTCCTGTCACTCCTATCTTACCTCAATGAAGTAACAGTGCTCCATAGCTCCTGAGAGAAACACTGATTTGCTTCCTGTTTCCTCATCTAACCTTGATATTATGGATCAGTGGTGAAAGAGAATTCTAGCATGTGGTACTTTTCTCAGTGACCTCTGTAGAGGAACTCTGACTTTTGTAGCTACAAATTAGCAATCTTTGCATAAGGTGAGTTTTTTGTTAGGTATGTTTTTAAATGTATTCATCCAGGGGATTTTGCCTTATGCTGAGGTCAAACTAGGGCCAAGCAAGCTTTTGTCCTTCATACTGTCAGAGTACATGTTGGCATATCGCTAGATGAGAACAGTGACAACTGAGTCATTTGTACTGTAATTGGGAATCAGCGACACCTTGTGATCAGATACATTTTGAACAGATGCTTAAACTGACCACTGCTCACCTGTTTTGCTTTAGTTGAATTTCAGCTCAGCCTCTTTCCTCTCAGTATTGTCTGTCCCTCATTTCCCCTCAAAATTCATTTTCCATTTGTGTTCCTTGGCCAGCAGGATGCTGGCCAATGTGTATCCTTGCGCTGTTTCGTACACGTCCACTTCATGGCAGAACTAAGCTCATACTCTTGTCTCTCCATGATAGGAGTAGGCTTTTCACAAACCGCAGTGCTGAGGCAGTTTATTTGCTGGAAACTACTTGTGGAGTGTGGTGTTTCCTCTGAAGGGTGAATTAAAATGCCTGTGAACTGCAAACTTGCTTGCGATTGATTTGGTGCAATAAAGTTCCTTTCTAAACATTTCTGGTTTAGAAAATACTCAGCCATCTTAGAAACTAGCAATATTTATTTTTGCCTCATTTATTTTACCTCCAGTTTTAGATGAGGTAAACTGTTTCACTTGTGGGTACTAAGTAAGGTCCATTCTAGTGTAGCAGAAGAGAAAGCAGATTTGGCTATACTTTTTCTGTTTGTTGTATTTTATGTCTAAATACTATTTTTATTTTTTAAAATCTTAATTATGGCTTCTAGTATGTCAGTTTCAAAAAAAAAGTTTTCCTAATCAATATTGGCCATTTACTTATTATTCTCCCACTAATTGGGACTTTTTTTTTTTTTAAAAAAAGATGTTCCTTCCTCTGAAATTTACAAGTTTTAGAAAATCCTAGAAGAGGGGTGGGTGCATGTCTTAATGCTGAGAAGCAGCAACTTTGGGGTTGAACTTACTTGAATGGATTAAGAATTGCATTGTTACAGAGCTAGAAAAAATTTATGTCTGAAAAATACTAGCCTTACACTGAGTACAAATAATACTTGTAAGCATGTGAAGATGTGATTTGTGATGTTACTTGTAAAAAAGTGTCTATACATATCTATACATATCTTTTGAAGTGTTGAAAGGAAAATAGTACTTTATATTCTTTATCATATCACCTTTTGTAAGTGTTGAATATATTCCTGTTTATTTTTCTATGTTCTGTTTTGTAGCCTTAAGAAGTGTTTCAAACTCTCTGAATGTATAAAATAAGAGTGAATGCCCTACATGGTGTGATGCTGCATTACATATAAAACTGTGCATATATTCAATTTTGTCTGTTGATTGTGGTCTTGATTCTTTAGTCCTGGGGTAGCCAAGTAACATATCACATGTAAGTTTTAGTAAACTCTTTAAAGTAAGATGGTTTCCATTTATTTTTCATGCTAGAACACATTTATAGCAGGGAAACTGAAAACTGGATTTATAGCTTATGTGATGGGTACTGTTACTGTCCCTACCGTATACAAGCTGAGATCACTAAGTGCTGTAGTGGAGTTTGTACTTGAACCCGGGAGTACTGATTTTACAGCACACATTCTATCCTTTTCAGCAGCCATTAAAATGGGAATGTGCAGAATACCTAAGAATTTATACATTAAGGACTTTCCTTTAATTTTTTTTTCAACTTGTGTTCAATAATGTGCTTTTTGAAGTACGAAACTGAAAACAGGGCAGTAAGGTTTTCCTTTTTTTGCATTTTTGTGGTGCTAGGCAAAGCAAGCATTCTTTGAATTACAGTACCTCAGCCCTGAAAAGCCAATTTTGTTAACTTCATATTCATCACCAAATAATTTACCCAAGAATACCGTCAAGTCAGTGCTTGTTTAAGGTTTCCTTGGGAAGCAGAACAATGATCCTTCAATGCAGATACTTGATAGACTGACCTTGGAAGAGACGGCAAAGTGGCACCAGTGATTAGTTCACTAAACTATTTTTTAATAGTTTATAATTTTATGTATATGGCTGTATTGTCTGCATGTAATGTATGTAACCGTACATTTAATTTGCATTGTTAATACTGATTTTATAGACAAACTCCTGTGTTAGCAGTTACAGGCCTTTCTATTGCTATATAAAATTTTAAGAATATCTAAGCGAGGCGTGGTGGCATATGCTTTTAATCCCAGCACTCAGGAGGCAGAGGCAGGCGGATCTCTGTGAGCCTCAAAAGGGCCCAAGACAAATCAAAACAAAGACAAATCCAAAGCCATTGTTTTCAAATTTCATTTGCATGGAAAATACTACCTTATTAACACATACATATATTGTCATCAGCAATTAAGTTGAAAGAACTTTGCTTTTATTTTAACATGTTTTCTTCTTTAGAACAGGATAAGAAATCAGTAAATAAAAACATTGTCTCATTCAGTGTATCTGAAATAACCACAAATTTAACCTGCCTGTAAACAGAATCACTTACATTAATATAATCCCACTTAGGTAAAAATAAACCCTTTGCTTGTTCACACTAATTAAGTGCATAGAAACATAAAGAATAACCAAACACTGGTAATCTCTGAGAAGGGTAATGGATATTTTATTCCATATACTTCTGTATATTTTAATTCTTTTACAACATATTTATGCATTATTCATATAAATTCGTTTTTAGGTCTAAGGGGGTCCAGTTAAAACAAAGGTTCTTTTCGAGGTTGTATGTTAAGATCTTGTCAAATAATTCGATTTTCTTCTCTGGCCTGCTTCATTATTAATCATAAATCCTCTTCCTTGTAAGTTAATTCCATCAGCATATTTGTAAGGACTGGATAACGTCCTGGTGCTCAAACTTAGAAATGAGTATGTATGGGAGCACTGGACACATTGTATTGCTTCTTCTTGCATTCAGTGGAGAAGTGGTTTTAAGGTTGTCCTTGGTTGCCTGATAGAAAATCTGTAGTCCATATAAAAACACACAGCTGGGGTGGAGCTCAGTTGTAGAGTGCTTGCCTCGCATGCATGAAGCTCCAACACCGCATACACCCAGCACACTTGGTGGGACAGGATGATCAGAAAGAAATTCAGTCACCCCTTGACTACACAGAAAACCCCACTAAAATCCAGATACTTAGGCACCAACTGTAAAGATGTTGAGTATGTAGTTTTTTTCCCTCTTGTGTGCAAGTGGGTGTGCACATATGCATGTAGAGGTCAGAGGATGTCCGGTATCTTCCTCAATCGCTTTCCTCCTTAGTTTTTGAGACAAGGTCTCATGGAACCCAGAGTTTAGAGTCCTGCTAGGGTGGCCGGCCAGTGAGCTCTGGGATCTGCCTAGTATGCCATGGCCAGTATTTAAGTCGGCACCGTGGGTCCATGCGGGTTTTGTGCAGCCAGCATTTTACTGACTGAGCCATCTCCCCGGCATGAGCAGACACGGCAGTTCAAAGGAAGCATATATTCTTTAGAAATGTTTTTTTTTTCTTCCTAAATCTTGGTCAGTAGTGATTAAATTTATGCTTACAAAATGACAATTATAGAATGTGAAAACTGAAAAATCCATAGTTAAAGTTAGGGCATTGAAATAATTTTTTGACAGATGTTCAAAAGCACCAAAAGCTCATTAAAAACAATTTGTAAGTTGGCAGCAAACACCTATCTTCCAACAATGGTGTTTTGTAGTAGACAATCTAAATTGGAAGCGTGCAAATATTAATAACATAGCAAATATAATTCCAATGTTTATCAAGCTTCATCAGTATGATCTGCCTGCCTTATAAAATAGGGCAATTTCATTATGCTACCATTATTTGGCAAACCAGGTAAGTACAGATCTTATTCAAGATTTTTAAACGGGGCCAACACTAATAAGCATTTGGTACATGAATATGATACATGAATTGAAAATCTTCCCAGATCACAAAAACTTGGAAGTAATTTGTATAGTTTGAAATTAGTCTTCATTTTAGCATACTATGCATAAAAAGGGCTTTATCCTTAAGAACAGAAAAAGTTCTTAGGCTAATTTACAATAAAACTGGCTTCTGATGTCACTTAAGAAAAATCATACTTTCAAGCTCCAGAGTATGTGGGGCCATGAAACCTGATTAAAGTTTTATATGATAAAAATCCCAGGAAATAAATGGCTTATTGAGACTCAGAGTCAGTCTAGTCATCCAAGAAAAAGTAGTTTCCACTCTTCTTTTGTTCTACATCCTAAAAACAAAGAAGCAACAAAAATAAATCAGTACCACTTTTCCGACACGAATTTGTAGAAATTCACCCAAGGGGTTACTTAGTGTTCATCTCTTAGAACATCTCACATACCAGCCCTAGGAAACTCCCTTTATACAAGATATACCTTACGTGGATAAAACTGTTAATATTCTTGGGGAAAACTACTTCATTCCACATTTAAGCTCAAGGTGCAAAAAGCTGATATCCAAGCTGTATTTAAAAATCAAACATTTTATAGAATGGCCAGCATCAATCCATTTAACCTCCCTGCCCAGCTTCTCATTCCCAACAAGACTATAAAGTGTGCCCAATGCTTAACAAGAAGTTCATGTTCTCTTCTCAGTTCGAACTGGGGAAAGATTCGTTTTATGGTAATGTCTATCATTCTTCATCAATCACATGAGATTGTACTGGAATCCAGATAGGTGTTCTGGACCTCCCAGATTAGTAAACCTAGGACTACAAGTAATGCCTAACATACTTATAAAAGTGTTAAAATGATGGTGCAGGGTGACAGGTACAGTCTGAGTAGGAGCTGCAAACGAGTACAAACAGGAAGTGCTTTTAGATTCAGAGTTCATTCACTTTTTTGGGTGATCAATCTTTGTCCTCTAGGAAACTCAAAGTGGGGTGCACAATTATTTTATGTCCTACTAAGAAAAAACCTGCCAATTAATCTAACAATGTTTTCTGTTCAGAATTTTATCAATGAAAGAGCTGGTTCAGACTGAAAATAGTCATTTTTAATTATGGTTTGAAAAACAAAAACGAGAAACTGGTTAAAGTATTCTCAAAAACTTCATTAATAAAACTCCACAAAGCTACTTTGAATGGCACAATGTACTGTTTTTTATAAATGAACACACATTATTAACAGATAACCACAGATACAGCTGCTGCCTGTAAATATGACAATGTTAAAAAAAAAACTGAAACGATACCTTGATTGAGTTGAGTTTATTTATTCGTGGTCTATAGTTGTTTGGATCTCTTCTGAATGTAATTTCCAGCTGAGACAAAAATTTATTCATCCCAGCCAAAAGTGTCTGAGGACTAGGGGAGACAAATTTACAATTGTGATTTATTACGTTCTGGAATGAAAGGTACTAAGATCCACTACTGCCTCTAATTCCCCAATCACCAACCACAGGGATAACACCACCGACCACAACAGCTGCACCTACCTTAGGGCTAGAAATGGCCTTATTTGAACTATCATAATTTGCTTGGTTATAATATTTCTGTGCAAAACAATCTGCATTTCTGGCATAGGAAAAGAAACATTAAGACAGTATTTTTTGCAGAAATGGAGATCAAATGCAGGAACCTTTGTATGTGTGAGGTAAGCACTCCACCATGAGTTAATATTAGCCCCTGCCATAAACTAGCCCTTGCCATAAGTATTAATAAAAGCAAGATGTTATTAATAAGGAGGCTTATAGGACTTCAAATGACATTTTTAGGGGAGAATATAATTTATTAAAAATGTTAGATTTAGGTTATTAAGGCAGAGAAGGGAAAATTATATACTTATTTTTTATTAAAAACTTTTATGCTTAATTTTTACCTGAGTTAATTCTTAAATAACAGTATCAGGTTGGAACATTATAAAGCATTTGTAAATAAAAAGTAAAGATCATTATGTGAAGAAATAAGTTTTATATACTTAAATTTCCTGAAAGGAACATATATTCTCAACTGACCAAAGAATTTCACATGAAAACAAAGGAATTCTGGGAAGCATGGTACTTTTATTTCTTGGAAGAACTATTCAAATAGCAGTTTCATCCTCCTCCTCTAATGTCAGGAAATTCTGTTAGAAGCAAATGAAATTACTTATTTATGGGCCCAAAGTGTTTGCGTACTGGTGACTGTACACAATCCAATGAAATACCTTTTATTTTGGTTTTGAGACAGGGTCCCCCTATAGCCACAGCTGCCTGCCTCTCTTTCCCAAGTGCTCGGATTAAAGGCTTATACCACCATGCCTGGCTCAAATAAGTTTCTGAATGGTAGATTCCTCTATATTACAATCAAGCTAGTCAAGAAAAATGAGGAAAAAGGTGAGCTTTGTCGCTAGCACCTATTAGTTGGGCATATAGTATTAGTTGGGCATATTTTGTTGATCCCTTTGGACTTTGTTCAAGTTTCTAAGGAATTACAAAACTTTTTTTTAAGATATTTTATTTTTATTTTATGTGTATGTGTGTATTGCCTGCACATAGGTAGAAGTGCACCCTGTTGCACATGTGTGTAAGTGCACCCTGTTGCACAATGCCCAAGGAGGTCAGAAGAGGCTGTCGGAGTTATGGACAGTTGTTAGCTACCATGTGGGCGCTGGCTTTCAAACCTGGGTCTTCTGCAAGAATAGTCAGTGTTCTTAACTGCTGAGCCACCTCTCCAGCCCACAAAACTTTCTTAATAAAATCTATAAGTTGGAGGAAAAGGGATCTAGAGCCTTTTATGATTATCTACCTGGGTCAGTGGTTCTATACTATAGCCTAAAAACTATTGGACGTTCCCAATCGAGTATTGCATAAGAATAATATTCGGCGTCACAGAAGAGGAAACTGGGTTACTGTTATCTCTTTAGTTAAAAACAAAAACCGCTATGAATAAGTTTTCTGCAAATTTACTTACAAATTACTTACAAATTTAATTACAAATTTACTTACAATTTACTTCTGAACATTTCAAAGAGTAATTTTACCTGTTTGCAACTGTGTTCTTAGATGGAACACCATCAAAAACAATAACTCGATCTGCTAGATAGGTGGCCATGATGAAGTCATGCTCCACAACAAAAGCTGTCTTCTTCGCATGGAGTATGAAACTAGAACACAGTAATTTGAACAATTTTGATAGCTTCTCAATCACAAAATAGTCAAATTTTTTATTAGGCACACTTGTATGCCAGTGTATGAATCAAAAGTGGTATGCTAGAAGCAAGACTTTTACCGTTTGACAACCCGGGCTGCCATCAATCTTTGTTCAGAGTCCAAATATGCAGACGGTTCATCAATTAAATAGACATCAGCAGGTTTGCCCAAACAAAGAGCTAAAGCTACTCGCTGAAGTTCACCACCAGATAATGTTTGTACCTAAGTGAAAAAAAGTTAGCAACGCATGGAGATACCCAAAATCAAAAATAATGAAATACACAAAATTCTAAAAATAAGTATGTCAGAATACCTCTTGATCAATGATGTTTTCAATTTGCAGAGGCTTCATTACATCAGTCACAAATTGTGGATGTGTGTAAGCATCTCTGATCTTTTCATGTAGTAACTGGCGAACACTTCCCTTGTTTTAATGGAAAAAAGCATTTTAATGCTAAATTATTAGGAAAGAACGCTTGTATTTATAAATCTGAACGCTAAACTCCAGAGCAAAATGATTTCACTTAGCCACCAACATAAACCAATTCTAGTTTTAATGCTTATTCATCATCTAGCTCATTTTATGGCTTTCTATTAAACAGCAATCATGTACAGTAAGTCAAAAAGTAACAATAATCTTAAAATTTAAAAACAAAGCATTGTAAATGATTGTATTTTTAAAAAACATTTTATTTTTAAAATTATTTTATGTGTATGGATGCATTGCCCATGGCGTGCAATGCCCGTGGAGGTTGGAAGAGGGTGTCGGAGTCTCCTGGAACTGGAGTTATGGATGGTTGTTAGCTGCCATGGGGGTGCTGAGAATCGAACCTGGGACCTCTGCAAGAGCAGCCAGTGCTCTTAGCCACTGAGCCATCTCTCCAGCCTTGGGAGAAATCTTTAAGAACAGGAATTCTAATTATCAAAGTGGATTTATGAATCTTGGATAATCTGTGGGAGTCAAACACAAAGTGCACCGTGATAGCTATTAACCCTAGGATGGCTTTTAGGAGTGTAGTAACACCTTTTTTCTTAAGTGTTAAAGAAGTTTATTTTTAACACTAGAGATAGGAAAACAGGACTTTTGCTTTGACTCTTCCCTGTATGCTGGGCTTTGTCTTTTGCTTTTGTTGCACATTTATGAATTTTTATGAATTGTGTGGTTTCTTTTTTTTTTGGTCTTTTTTGAGACAGGGTCTCCCTGTAGCCCTATCTATCTTGGAACTTGCTGTGTAGACCAGGCTGGCCTTGAACTCACAGAGATCTGCCTGCCTCTGCCTCCCGAGTGCTGGAATTAAAGGCTGGGATTAAAGACGTGCACCACCATGCCCGGCTCCTTTTTTTTTTTTTCAATTTAAAAATTTTTATTGATTTTGTGTATTTCATACAGAAAATCATCTTTATACCCCCTTCCCCTCTGGAACCCTCCCGTAGTCTCCCCACTGGAATTGATACATTCTGTTATTTGTATTAAGGCCTATTATGTGGTATTAGTGTCTTCAGCTGTCTCTCAGTGCATGTTCATCCACTGGGATCTAGTCAGCCTATCTACAGTCCCTCCCTTTAAGAAGATCAGCTCTTCCTCACCCAGCAATAATCAGCTGCCAATAATTCTTTGACTATGATTGGGGCCTGCTCATTTCCACAGTTCTGTGCTGAGTTTTTGTCTGCTTAAGTTTGCATGGGTCTGGTGCATGTTGACGCCATTGCTGTTAAGTTCATATGTCCCAGGTGCACCTGTGGGACTATTTCTCTATGGTCATGCACCTCCTTCCTTGCTCTTACAATCCTTCTGCCCGTCTCCCGCAATGGTCCCTGAGCCCTGGGTGGGTGGATTTTGATATAGGAGTCCTGTCCAAGGACCCACACTGCAGACTCTTATTCTGTGTTTTGGCCATTTGTGACCTTGTGCTTTTCTGGCCCTCTGTTACATGAAGGAGCTTCATTGATGAGAACTGAAAGATGCATTAAGTTATACAAAGTGATACTGAAGAAATAATCGTTTTAAGATCATGCTGTTTGAAATATGTAATAACATAAAGTCAGTGTTGAGGCACTAACGTATAATAATTAAATCCCATACAATATCTTCAGAAATCAAAGGGGCTTATTGCTTCAGCCTAACATTTTCAAGTTTCATACTTGTAAACATTTATCAGTATTTCATTTCTTTGAATGACCTTACATAACTACACAGTGGTTCTGCAGCTTTACACCCCAAATACAAAGTCCAGTTTCCACACACCCTCACAAATACTTGCTACTGTCTTTTAGATTTTAGTCAGCTTAATGGTCAGGAAGTGGTATTCACTGTGGATTTTATTTACATTTCCTTAATAGAAATGATGCTGAGCCTCTTTTCACTTGTTTATGGGTCATTACTATTTCTTCTTTGGAAGAATGTTTTGAGGCAAAGGTTCACACTAAGGCTGTGAAGGTGTATCTTGGAAAAAAGATGACAGTTTTTAAAGGGGTTGGGCAGTAAAGGCAGGCCGATTGAGAGGTACAGGTCAGTTACACAGGAAAGTCTAGGCCAGCCTGTGACTATAGAATCTAATTTGGCTAAGAATTTTAATATAGTAATTTTGGGGGTATGGTACATACTGAACCTAGTGCCTTAACTCATTTTAAACACACACTCTACCACCCTTACTATACCCATTACTATAGCAAAAGATTAATAAAGGTATAGGCAGATACATACATTTTAATAACCAAATGAAAGTAACTCACTGTTGATTTGGGACTGATTTTCTGTGGCTTGTAACTGACATTTAGAACAGGTACTTCTCCTGGAAAAGTACAAGTTACAAGTAAATATGACACATAAACTGTCCAGATCTTTAAAGTTTACTTTGTGGGCCAGAGTCAAAAGACAGTACCTCCTTCATCAGGTTTAAGCCTTCCAGCAAGCATTCTAATAAATGTTGTTTTACCTGTACCTGGCAATACAACAACAACATAAAACAATTAACCTTCAAATTTCAAGTAAATCATAATTTCCTACTTGTTATGAACTGAAAAATTTGTTTTAAAGATATCTATCAACACCATGGAATTCTGAATTATAAAGAAACTACTTAAATCTCACCTGTAAAGTATCAGTCTAAGCTTTATCAGGTGGAATAAAGACTAGTCTAACAAATACTTAGTCTACAGAATTTAAGTCTTGAGATAGCTTAAAATTTAGCTAAGTTATCATACAATCTATTAAGGGTAGTATAGATTATTTTATGATAGAAACTATCTATGGCTAGTATATAAAATTGCAACCAAACTAAAAATTGGTTAACTGAAACCTGATACATTGCAAAAATTTTACATAAAATGTTTCTTCTACAATTTTATAAGCTGCAAGATTAAAATACAAATTGTTACCCTTAAATCATAAAAGCAACATCAGACATTCAGTAGTCAAATTTATCTTAGTTATAGTGACAATATAATATTGAAAATATTGGGAACAAAACTGTCAAAGTATATAGAACTTTCTGAGTTTAAAAGACACATGGATATAGGGAAAAAATTTTCTGAGTTACCAATTCATCCCTTTTTTCTAGTCCTTTTGTGAATTTATACACAGCAAACAGAGCAAAGACCTTATTTTCAATGGAAAAAATGAGTAAGAAATATTAACTTGGTTGAATGAACATGATTTAATTTGTAAATGGCACAAAAATGTGAATTTGAAACAAATGTATGAATTAAAACTCAGATGCCAATTCTCAGAGTCCATTTCCCACAGAATAGGTAATTTACACAACTGACTTTTACCTATCACAAAATGAGGAACTTACCATTTTCTCCGAGCATCACCATGATTTCAGAATCTGTAAACTCTCCAGCTACAATTGCTAGCTCAAACTCTCCCATCTTTTTCTTCATCCCAGGATACTTATACATACACATCTTTTTAACTTCTTCTTCATTTGCTGTCTCAGCTACCTTAAAAACAAGTGATGCGTCTCTGAACCTCAAATTTTCTGTTGGAACGTAGCCATCCAAAAAGATGTTTATGCCTGTTAAGAAAATTGTGAACAGATTAGTAAAGACCAACTAAGAGTATTCTTGGCATCAATCTATGCACAGATTTTATACGTCTACTGATCTTTGATAATAGGTTTATATATAATGAAGTGCCACCAGTTTCATGTTCCAACAGTGTAAGCACGCTAGGCATGGTGGATGACACCTGTAATCCCAGTTCTCAGAAGGCTGCCAGAGCAATCAAAAAGCCCAACACCCCTCACCCAGATAATCATGAAATAATGTAAGCTTCATTTTAAGTTTAAACAATCTGTGATTATCTATGTTCCATATCCATATGTGAAACACATTTTTAGTTATTCACTATTAAATTATTATGCAATTTTTTCCCACCAGGTTTAATGCAAGAGTATATGATGTTATTTTTGCAATATTTTTTACATCAAAATTGTCATTTTGGCTCAGCAAAATGGCTCAGTGGGTAAAGGTGCTTGTCACCAAGCCTGAGGACGTGAGTTTGATTCCAGGAACTCACACAGTGGCAGGAGAGTACCATCTTCTGCAAGCTGACCCCTGACTTCCATAAGCACATTGTGGCATGTGTGTTCCCACACACATAATATAAATGTAAACAAAAAGGGTAAAAAGAATCATTTTGCTCTAAAAATCGAAGTACATAAGAAAATATTTTCAGGTAGTAACTGATATGAAACAGCTTTCAGAATAATTTTTAAAATAAGAAATTTAATGAGTACTGTTTTGGATGAAATAATCATGCACTTGCATGTTATTGTTGAGATTTTTTCAGATTAATTTTGAAGTTTCATAAACTAAATAACGAGCTAACTTACTTTTTACTTTTGCTGCACAAAAGTAACAACCATTATTTAAATCTACTTCCAGTAGATGAAAGAATAACACTACATGAAAATCCCTCTCTACTAAAATGTAGGCTTCATAATGGCAAATAGAAATCAATTATTTGAATATAAGTAATTAGTTATACTTTCAATGTATAAGCAAAGACAAAGATAACAGCTGTAATTTGGGGAAGACTTGAAGAAGTAAAGAGATTCCTCATCCTATCTGGATTGAGAGCCACATCAGAGACTTCTACTGAGCCTAGAGCACAATAAACACGAGTGAATCAATTTGTCTAAAAGCAGCATTTTTAACCTTAAAGTACAAATGCTGCTGGGCATAGTAACACACACTTTTAATCCCATCTAGGAAGACAAAGGCAGATGGAGTTCTGTTGATTTCAAGGCCAGCCTCATCTATAAAGTGAGTTCAAGGACAGCCAGGGCTACAAAGTGAGACCCTGACACCGGTACACTTACAAACATGCAGGCAATATACTCATACACATAAAAATAAACAACAAAGTATTTAAAAACAAACAAACAAAAAGACCCAAAGCACAAATGTAAAGTTAAAAAAAATTAAAACCAGGGGCTGGAGAGATGGCTCAGATGGTTAAGAGCACTGACCCAGGTTTGGTTCTCAGCACCCACATGGAAACTAACTCCTAGCTCCAGTTCCAGGGCATCTGATGCCTTCTGGTGGGCACTGCACTCATGGGTACACTCATATACAAACAGGAATAACCTTCACATAAAATATAAATAAAAGTTTCCTTAAAAAATAAAAACAAACAAAAACACCAAAAACTTTGGTGAAGTAGCCATTCAGTCCAAGTGCCTAATCTAGTAATTAAGGAAATGAAGGCTCAAAGAAACAAGTGACTGATCAAAATACAGTTAAGGTAGTCTTTAAATTTTTACTGCATTATCTGTCAACTTAAAAATAAGTTCAAACAATAATCATCTTCATATATAGTTCAGAGATTTTAAATATAGTACACGAATTTCAGTATCAGAAAGTAAGGAGGATGACGTTCTTACCAATTTTCAACAGATAAGGCACATTAGAAACCTCACAAGGACCCACGATTTAGCTAGAGCACTTATAACTAGGATTCTTCAAGAATGACTGCTGAGTGCCTATATCATAAACCTGATTATGAAACAACATAGTGCACAGTACTGAAGAGAAAAGATTAGTAACTGGTTCTAAGCAGGGAACGGTGGCGCACTATGGTACTACTAGCACTCAGGAATCTGAGGGCAGTCAAAAGAACTGCCATAAGTCTGAGAGCAGTCTTGGGTACACAGTGTGTTCCAGTCTCAAAAAAATGAAAAACAAGCCGGGCGTGGTGGCGCATGCCTTTAATCCCAGCACTAGGAAGGCAGAGGCAGGCGGATCTCTGTGAGTTCAAGGCCAGCCTGGTCTACATAGTGAGTTCCAGGACAAAGACCAAAAAAAAAAACAACAACAAAATAAACAAAAGCAAAGCTAACAAAAACACAATCCCACGAAAAACTTCAAAAGTTTAGTTTTGATATCATTTAAGAATTATTAAGTGTGTGCATGTATGTGTGTGTACGGGTATACCTGGGGGCTAGAGGACAACTTTGTGGACTCAGGTCTCTTTACCTTTACATGGGTTTCGCTGACTGAATTCAGGTTGTAGGCTTATATAGCAAGCACGGAGCACTGCCATCTTGTCAGTTCGCTTCATTCATTCATTCATTCATTCATTCATTTGTTCGTTCAATTAATTTTATGTGTATGTGTATATTTCCTGCATGTAGGTAAGTGCACCCGTGTTGTGCAATGCCTGCGGAGGACAGAAGAGGCTGTTGGATCCCTTTGGAACTGGAGTTACAGACAATTGTTAGCTGCCATGTGGGTGCTGGGATTTGAACCCAGGTCTTCTGCAAGAACAGCCAGTGTTTTTAATCACTGAGCCATCTCTCCAGCCCACATCTTTTTTTTTTAAGTATTTATTTTAAGAAGTTTTAAAAATTACATTTATCTGTGTGTTTGTGTACATGTGTACAAATGCCAAGGTGCATGTGTGGAGGTCAGAGGACAACTTTGGGATATGGTTTCTCTCCTCCACCATGTGGGTCCTGTGAACTGAACTTGGGTCGTCAGGCTTGGCAGCAAGAGCCTTTATGTGGTGAGCCATCTTGGTATTCCTAGTCCATATTTTAAAGAGAATTTCGTAAGACTACCGGCAATAACACTGGGGCAACCTTACCAAGTTTTCCTTAAAATATGCAACTAATCACCGAGTAGGTAAGTTATAAACATACATTTTGAAGAAAATATTTATATACTTCTAATAAATTATAAAAACGGGCAATGTCTTATGAAAAGGCTACGATACAGTGTCAATTTAAGGTTTTCCCAAGTTTCTTAGGTATCTCAATTTCCTTGAAGAGATAACTAAGGGGGGGGGTAGAATTAAACTATCACCACTAAGCCAATCTGAATTATTCTTCATCCAGAATATGGTTTCATATATGTGTGTGTGTGTGTGTGTGTGTGTGTATATATATAAATTTTTTTTTTCATTGTTTGTTTTTGTTTTTCTGAGACACAGTCTCCTAAAAACTTGCTTCAAGACCAGCAACTCACAGAGATCCACCTGCCTCAGCCTCCTGAATGCTAGGACTGTGTACCACCTCACTTGGGTTCATAGTCTTTTTAAGATACAGGCTCACTGATCTAGGTGATCAGCTTAAGACATGAGGGAAGGGAGGAGTAAAACTAAAACAAGTAAAAAAAATCAAAAAGAAAAGAAAAAAATGAAGAGTAAAGATACAGAAGATGGAAAATACACTGCTATTTTTTTCAGGAGTCACTTAATAGTTTTTAGTTTCTACTTTTATTTAACTTGCACAGGCAAGGAGACATGGAAGAGATCAGAATCCCTCTTTTCTGAAACATATAAAAATACTAATTTTATTATTAGATTTTTACAAAGCCTAAGTTCCACAACACAAGATAGGGATAATAGATAAATTTGAAATATGAGTTGGGCTTTGTGATATACATGCCTTTAGTCCCAGGACTCAAGAGGTAAAGGCAGGAGAATCTCTATGAGTTTGAGGCCAGCCTGTTCTACAAAGTGAGTTCTAGCCTGCCAGGGCTATATAGTGAGACCTTGTCTTGAAAAAAACCAAAAACAAACCTATACAACAGTAACAAATTATATTAAAACTTGGGGGTTAGAGAGATGGTTCAGTGGTTAAAAGCATTGGCTGCTCTTGCAGAGGACCCAGATTCAGGTCCCAGCACCCACATGGCGGTTAACAACCAGCTCTAACTCCAGTTCCAGGGGATCCAATGTCCTCTTCTGGGCTCTGTGGGCATTGCATGACAAGGTTGCACTTACATGCAGGCAAAACACTCATATATATAAAATAAAAAATCAAAACCAAACCAAAATACCAAAGCCTATTGTTTAAAAAAAAAATTGAAACATGAAAATAAGATGGAACTTAATGAATTTTAAGCTTTGTTAAAGGTGCTGGTCTATTAAAGACAAATCTGAAGATGACAAATATAAACTCTATCTCTACCCTCCCAACAGGAAAAGTCTCAAAACCTTTGATATGACCTTTACAATCTACTCCATTCTCTGAAATGAGTAAATGCCCAAATATGTTTCACATATTTACCAGAGCAAGTTACTTATATCAACAAAAATACATTTTCTACGTATTACAGAAGAGAATAGAGCATATATGAAAATAGTTTTTCAAGTTACCTTCTCTTACACTAAAAGGCATAGTGACAACACCATAAGCACTTGGTACACCATATAAACAGCAGATGAAGTCAGAGAGATAATCTAATACACTTAGATCATGCTCCACCACAATGATATATCTGAAAATCAAAACAAATTTAACATAACATATATAATTAGCTAAGACTCCAACACAATTATTATTTTTTTTTTACTATAGTTGAGAGTTTTTAGAATTTTTAAAAGCATAAAGACCAGAGCAAGTAAAACTAAAATGTATTTTCTTATACAAGGCTCATTATTGCCTTTATTTAAAAACGTTTTCCTAAACAAAAAGAACATCAGCTAACATGAAAGTTTGTAAGTATATATATATATTTTTTGGTAAACTTCACAAAGTGGGAAAAATTATAATACTAAATCAAGATGTTCCCTAAGTGTTTGAATATTTTACTATTTAAC